CTTGTTTGACTGAGATTCTTCTTCATCTTCTTCAAACCCAGTTCTGGCCATAAATGCCTCATCTTCTGACTCAGGATTCTCTTGATCAGAATCATAATCGCTCCAGGTGGCCTTCATGGCTTTCTCCCTTGCTTTCAGTGTTTGAGGACAGTGGGCTCGAATATGTCCGAGTTTCCCACATTTGTAACATGCCTGTGATTCCCTTTCTGATTGACCTGTTTCAGTTTTCCTGGTCTGCTGGGGAAGCAGCCTAGCTTGAGAAAAAATTTTAGTTCGATCATAATTTCCATTCCTAGGCTCATCTTGGCGCTGTTTTTGCTCATTTTTATATTTTAACATTCTATGAAAACGTTTGCTAACAAGAGCAAACTCTCTATCAAAGTCACTTTCTTCCTCACTTTCAGCATCATACTCCACCATTTTCGATTTGAAAGCTAAATTTTTACTACGTCTTTCATCCTCCTGACCAATCTGCTTTAACACATGCTCATGACTTAACAATGAGCCTATCAGTTCATTTATAGATAAAGTAGTCAAATTTTTAGCTTCTTCGATAGCTGTTCGCTTAGGTAACCATTCCCTAGGCAGAGATCTAAGAATCTTCCTATTCAGGTCCTTAGTTTGATAAATCTTCCCTAGCCCTTTCAGTTTGTTTATTAAAACGGTGAATCTGGAGTACATTTCATGTATCCCTTCATTTTTAGACATGCAAAAACATTCATATTCATGCACTAAAAGATCTATGCGAGATTCTTTTATGTTGGAAGTACCTTCATAGGTGCTTTCGAGAGCAGTCCAAATTTCTGAAGCCGTCGAGCAGTTCTCAACCTTGTCCGCCTCGTCTGGGTTCATCGCCGATTGCAACACATGCATGGCCCGCTGATTTAACTGCGCGCTTTTTTTCTGGGCAGCAGACCAAAAGCTCTGCTCGTCGTCGTTCATTTTGATCGGTCCATCCTGCACAACTAACCAGAGTTCTTCGTCAATTCCCCACAGAAATTGTTTCATCCGCTTCTTCCACGCGGTGTAATTAGACCCGGTGAAGATTGGCGGATGATTGATAGCAGCATGACCGAAGGAACCAGAAGCCATATTAGATCGAAACCCTGGCAGTAGTTAACTCCGTCAAGGACCTGGCTCTGATGCCAATTGTAATCGAGAAAGAACTCGATCTATTTGGGAATTAGGGTTCGAAGAGAGAGAGAGAGAGTTTCAGAGAGGACGAGTTCCAGAGAGAAGGAGAAGAGATCGATTTGGGTGAATGGGAATGACTGAGTCTCTCGGTTTGGGTTATATAAAGTGGGCCAAAGTCTTGAACCGGCCCAGGTTTAAGGTACAAAATCAGTTGGGCTTGGTAAGACTATTGAGAGTCTTTCATCCCAACACTTCCTTTAGTTACAACCCAAACAGCAGAGTAGCAACCCGACCCAAGTGACAGAGTCTCAACTCTGCTGCTCAGCTACACAGCATCAAGAAGAACAGAGTTCTGGAAAACAGAGTGCAAGAGTAGAGCAGAAATGGAGAAGACACAGTCCGTTTTTTAACGTGGTTTGCCCAAGTGCAATGGTGTACTTCCACGTCCCAGAATATGGTCTGGGAAACCTTTTATTGAAGAATAAATCGCAACCACAAATTAACACAGAACACGCAAGAAGAAGTAAACAAAATGAACAAAGAAAAGCCTTTCTGCCTTGACACCTGTTGAACCTTTGCCTCAACTTGTGTCAACCCTTTTGCAAACCTAGTGCTATGCCCTTTACCGCAATAGCTCCTACAAAAGTAATCCCAACATTATCAAACATTCGAGTATATATAGACTTCTCAATCAAGGGACTAGCCGTTGGAAGCAGAGAAGGTAGGTTCCCAATCAAGCCTACAATTTCCTTAAGTGAATCCAGTGATTGAGCTGCAAAATAGCAACGGTTAGAAATAGACAATCTCCAACTTGATTCAATCCGCTGATTTCAACATTGAAGACATGGGTTAATATTGGTGGTGGTGAGTAATTGAACACGTGATATCACATGTCTGATACCATGTCGTCATAAACTAACTGGTCATAATAAATCGAGTTGTTGAGTGAATGTTATTTTGAATCTTATACCACTCTCTTACACTTGTATTGGGCTAAACAAATGTTTGAACCAGATCAGGGGAGAAGCTACACAGGGCCTGGGAGGGGCCCCGACCCCTCGAAAATTTTGAAAATCACGATGAATGTTCGGGTATTTGAAAATAGTAAGATCCGTGCAACAATGTACCAAATGAAGTCACTTAAACCTAAAGGAGCTGTACGACATGCTGCAGCCTAGCAGTCAGTGGTTGGATGCCCCACCAACATTAGTTTTTGGTTATCTCATTTGGTTTCTTAACTCTATATATTTTACTTTCGTCAGTTTGAAATTTAAGGTGTTCAAATGATTTTAGTGATAAATTTCTTCCGATAAGTTTAAACTATAATTTTCATGGAAAATCAATCTAGTTATTTAAAATTTATACTTTGATTTCTTAATCATTTAAATTTCAACTTAATGACTTCCTTAATTTATCAAATTAAAATTTTAGATAATTTTTTATACATAAATGATAAATTTCTTTTAAAAATAAAATATTAAATAACTTGCTACAAATTGAAACAAATATTTGTTAATATTTTACTCATTTATATTGAAGATATCATAATAGATTACATCTTGAACCAATCTAATTATTTGACAAAACATCGTGTACATTTTAACTTGTTTATATAGTTATATAATTATTTTGGTTTTTTGTTTAGTTACGTTAATATACTACGGAACATTTTTCGGCCCCCCCTGAATCCAAAATTCTAGCTCCGCCCCTGGACCAGATATACTGAATCGAATCTAATCTAATCTGGTTCTTAGTCTCACAAATTTTATAAATACTGAAGAAAATGGACCTAAATGATATTTAGACCGGACCAAAGCATTCCGAATGTAATGTCGGTTCAATCTTTGGCCCACCACAAATGTCTTTCAATATTGCACCACAATTGTCATGAATTTGATCCGATACAGACCAGACTAAACCGTTGCACAATCCTAAAGCTTGACAATCTACATCTAGTCCTAAATTCCACCGTTGCACAATCCTAAGCTTGCCAAACGAGACTCATCCAAATGTTGCATTTAAATGAGTAGTATATTTTTATCTTCTTTATCACTATGTCAAAATTTAGAATTCTGACAAGCACAACATAATTTAATACCATAAAGCAAGATCCCAAACTTTCCATAACAAATAGCTCTCTCAACTGCCGCAAATCACAGACCAAACTCCAAAGAACTAGCGATGATTAATGACCAAAATCGGGTCCGGATCACCTCAGTAACCATCCCATCAGTAACCATCAGTAACCCCTTCCCCTGGCCCCCACGTGTCAGCTTTTTCTTTTTATTTAAAAAAAATACGGAGGGGCACTAAGGTAAAATTGCACCCCCTATTTAATGATGACTCTGACGCGCTGACGCGCTGACGCTGACCAGATCACATCAGCGCCTTCTCTCTCCTCAAACAACCTTTCATTTTCCTTCTCTTAATCTTTAACGAACGATTTCTCATTCGTTTTAAGTCAGAATTTAATTTTTTTTGCACAGTTAGATCAGATTAATTGTGCTCTTCAAAATGATATCCACTTTGATATTTTTCAGACATAAAAAAATTTGTCAGTTATTACCAGTCATTACCATATGGTAATGAATGGTAATGACTGGTATTGACCATACCATATGGTATTAACATCAATATATATTACGTTACCACCCAATACCATATGATATAGTGTGGTAATATCAATATATATTTCGTTACCACCCAATACCATATGGTATAGTGTGGTAATATCAATATATATTTCGTTACCACCCAATACCATATGGTATAGTGTGGTAATATCAATATATATTTCGTTACCACACTATACCATATGGTATAGTGTGGTAATATCAATATATATTTCGTTACCACCCAATACCATATGGTATAGTGTGGTAATATCAATATATATTTCGTTACCACCCAATACCATATGGTATAGTGTGGTAATATCAATATATATTTCGTTACCACCCAATACCATATGGTATAGTGTGGTAATATCACACAATACCATATGGTATAGAGTGGTAATATCAATATATATTTCGTTACCACGCAATACCATACATTACCATAGGGTATAGTGTGGTAATATCAATATATATTTCGTTACCACCCAATACCATATGGTATAGAGTCATAATATCAATATATATTATCTAAAAGGAAAAAAAAACAGAAGGAGGGAGAGAAAAAATCGTCTTCTGATGCCTCTCATTTCCTCTTCCTCAATCAAGAACACCAAAATGCCAAAAAAACGAGAAAGATCCGAATTGAGGCCAACGAGTTGATGAAGAGAAGAAATGCAAAGAAAGAGAGTGGCTACAATTTTTATTCGTCGATTGCTAGAGAAAAAAAATGAAGAAGGAAGAGAGCAGATCTAAATTAGAAAAGGAGATTGTAAAAGAAAAAGTAAGAGAGAAGGAATAGAGAAAGAGAAAGGATCTGGAAAGAGATTGAAAGAAAAGAAGAGAAAAGGAAGAAAGTTGAGTTGCAGAGAAAATGCATTGTCTCTCTTTCATTGAAAAGTCAGCCATTGAAATGCGGAATGAATAAAAACTATTAAAAATACAAAAACGGACAAAAATGCCCCTCCCCACCCCACATCCAGCCCAGCCACACGATTGCTCCATTCCCAATCCTACGGCTCCCGTGTGGTTACTGTTGGGTCAGTAACTAGTGGTTACTGACCCTATCTTGGACCACCAAAATCCCCTTCACCAAATCTTGCTTCCTGGTTTGTCTCTCTTCTCTCTCTCTCTCTCTATCTCTCCTCCACCCCAATTTCCTTTTCAGCCGCTGACACCTTCCCTACCTTGCTCTTCCCTCCATCACTCTGTCTGTTTCTTAGGCAGGCAGTGGAGGAGAATAGTGAATACATTGTTGTGTTTATGGCGGAGGCACTGGAGGAGAATTTCTTGGTGGGGAAGGAGACGGACAGCTACGTGGAAAAAGCTCAAAAGAGAAGCAACGGGAAAAAATATATGCAATTTTTTCTTTAGAAACAGAGGATCCAAAGAAACAAAACCCCACTCTCTCTCTCTCTCTGACTATCTTGGCCTTGCTGCCGTAGGAGGAGTAGAGAGAGAAGCCTGCGGAAGTTCCAAAGACGAGTGTGGCGAGAAGTTGCCAAATTCCACTTCCAAGTGTTGCTCCGCCCACGCCGCCGCTCAACACCTCGCCCCCTTCTCTCCCTTTTCTCTGCTCCATCGCCTTTTGCTGACTTATACACAAACAGACTTCTGGCACATTCTTTTTCCTTCAATTTCCCGGGGTCCAAATTGTTTGTTTCTTTGTTTTTTCCCCATCACCACCACCATTGTTTCTTCTCTTCATCACGTGCTCTTCTTCTTGTTCAACAGCTATATGTACACCTCACTCTTCGAGCCCGTTTCACTCTCCCCTGTTTCTCCTCTGTTTTCAGCTCAGCTCTGTTCCCGTGTCTTCCGTCCAACAATGGCGGTCTTGTTCTTGATTCTGTAAATTTCATTCGATTTGGGTTGAACCATTATTTGATTTGGGTTTCGCTGCTGGCTGCTCGATTCTCAATGGGTTCGATCCTCCGGTTTCGGAAGCTGTCCTACTTGGCGCCGGTGAAATTGCATACCGAGAAGAAGGTTGAGCAGGAGAAAAAGGCTGTCGATGTTCCCAATCCTTGCTTTTCTCCGGAACCCACGAAGAGGGCTTTGGCGCCGACGGTGAGAAGGTCCGGCGGGAAGGAGTGGAGGTGCATGGACAATTGCTGTTGGATGATTGGGTTCCTCTGTACGACCTGGTGGCTCTGTTTATTCCTCTTCAACTGTCTGCCGGCGACTCTGCCCGGATTCCAAGCACCCGAATCCCCCGGCGTCCGGCTCAAGCGCGAAGGGATCACCGCACTTCATCCCGTCGTCATGGTCCCCGGCATCGTCACCGGCGGTCTCGAGCTGTGGGAAGGAAAGCCCTGCGCTGAGGATCTCTTCCGGAAGCGCCTCTGGGGCGGTGGCTTCACTGAAATCATCAGAAGGTCAAATTTTTACCGTCTTTCTTTAATTAGAACTCAAAATATTTGCTAAATTAGGTCAAAGAATCCATCTTTTTCCCCTTTTCCCTTGCTGGGTTCTCAATCCTTCTACATTTTGTCAAAATTGGTACTGAAAGAATCAATTTTTAAATTTGACCCAGACCATTGTGTTGGTTGGAGCATCTGTCTTTGGATAATGAAACCGGGCTCGACCCGCCGGGGATCCGAGTCCGAGCGGTCCCGGGTCTGGTCGCCGCCGACTACTTTGGGCCGGGATATTTTGTCTGGGCCGTTCTCATTGAGAATCTGGCCAAAATTGGGTACGAAGGGAAGAACTTGTACATGGCAGCTTACGATTGGCGGCTCTCCTTCCAGAATACAGAGGTAAAGAAGCCGACTTTCTAAACTATGAACAGGTGATACAATGCAGCTCCTAGGTATAGAGATGATGAACAAAAGTACTGAATACTGTTTTTGTGAATCAGATTAGGGACCAGGCACTGAGTAGATTGAAGAGCAAAATCGAGCTAATGTATGTGATAAACGGTTATAAGAAAGTAGTGGTGGTTCCACATTCCATGGGAGTTGTCTATTTCCTTCACTTCCTCAAATGGGTTGAAACCCCGCCTCCGGTTGGAGGAGGGGGCGGTTCGGGCTGGTGCTCGAAGCACATCAAGGCTGTGATGAACATCGGCCCCACGTTCCTCGGGGTTCCAAAGACCGTCAGCAACTTGTTCTCCGGGGAGGCTAAAGATGTCGCATTCCTGAGGTTGGGGACAATCCTTTATTGGAAATGGCATTGCTAATTGGAGTAACAATGCATGATTACAATTGTGTCTGTTTTTGCAGGGCTATGGATCCTGGTGTACTGGACTCCGAGATGCTCGGATTGCAAACAGTGGAGCATCTCTTGAGGGCAGGTCGAACTTGGGATTCGATTGTTTCCTTGCTTCCCAAGGGAGGAGAGACTATCTGGGGCAACCTCGATTGGTCTCCTGAGGAAAACCATGCTTGTGATTTGTCTAAGAGGAAGCCACTCGGTGAACGAAACTCGACCGATGGTAATGCAAAGAGATCTGCACTTAAAGAGCCTGTTAAGTATGGAAGGATGATCTCATTTGGCAAAGCAGCAGCGGAGCTACCATCTTCGCTCCTTCCATCTCTCGATCCAAAGGTACGACGAGGAAAGGTTTCAAATTTCAATCCTGGTAATGCATTGTGTCTGTTTAACTTGCCTGTTTGGATGATTATGAAAAAGGGAAACACCAATGTATTGCAGGATATACTAGTTGCACAGACGACCACGAAGAAGAATTCCACTTCCTCGTGCAGTGAGGTCCGGACAGAATACGACGAGATGAACAGAGAAATCATTGGAAAGATTGCAGAGAACAAAGCATACACTGCTAGGACGGTTCTCGATTTACTAAGGGCGGTTGCTCCCAAGATGATGAAACGAGCAGAAGCTCATTTCTCCCATGGCATAGCCGACAATCTCGATGATCCGAAGTACACACAGCATTACAAGTACTGGTCCAACCCACTGGAGACAAAGTAGGCACTTCCCTCCTAAATTCACTACTTCATTGCTAAAAGTTAGACAAGAACAATGTACTATGCTAAGAAACCTAGTTTCTTATATGTCCCCTTTTTTTTGTCACAGGTTGCCTGATGCTCCAGACATGGAGATCTACTGCTTGTACGGAATAGGAATTCCGACGGAGCGATCGTATGTGTACAAACAGTCGCCCAGCAGCAGGTGCAAGAGCATCCCATTTCGAATCGACACCTCGGTGAATGGAGACCGCGGTGAGAGTTGCCTGAGAGGCGGGGTGAGCTTCGTGGACGGGGACGAGAGCGTGCCCGTGTTGAGTGCAGGGTTCATGTGTGCCAAGGGTTGGAGAGGGAGGACGAGGTTCAACCCGTCGGGGGCCTCGACCTACGTGAGGGAGTACCGGCACAAGCCACCGGCTAGCCTGCTCGAAGGGCGGGGAGCCGAGAGTGGGGCTCATGTTGACATCATGGGGAATGTTGGGTTGATAGAGGATGTGATGAGGGTTGCTGCCGGCGCCACCGGTTTGGGGATCGGTGGCGACAGGGTTCATTCCGATATCGTTCGAATGTCGGACCGGATTAACATTCGACTGTGACCGATCGAAACGACCGGTGGTCATCGGAGGAGGAGTAATGTGCAAGGTAATTTTGAGGTGTGTAAAGAAGAAAAACTAACAAGGGAAGAAGTGGATTTCCTGCAAAGCTAAGCTAGAGAAGTTGTGACTTTTGAGTTGTTATTAGAAATGTGGAGGAAGGAGAGAGTTTGTGCCATTTTTGGGTTCTGTTAATTTGCTGCAAGTTCTCTGGATAAACACATCTGTAATCAAATAAAACGGCCTCTCTCTGTTCCTTCTTGTAATCATCAACTATTTAGGCTTTTTTTTTGTTGGGAGTTGCCGAGACTCGAACACACGAGTTACTGGGCCCAAGTTATCGTTACGTACCCAAGTTGGACTGGGCTGGCATTAATGTGTGTGGAAGAAGTTTAAAGGCCCAACATGATGTCTCCGACGAAAAAGCATAACTCGGCCCACTAACAATTGAATCCATCTACAAAGGCTCAAGTTCGCAACGAAAACAGTAGGGGGGAAAATGGGGCCAGAGCCTTGAGAACTGAGAATTGAGATTGAGAATGAGCAGTAGGGATGTTAAATATTCACAAATTCAGTTAGCTGGGCCGTGGTAGGTTTTTTTCATTGTTTGCAAATATTGTAACATAATTTATCAAAATGCACCTTGAGTAATCAAAATAATTCAAAATGGAAAGAACAACATAAATAATCTCAAATCACCGTTAGAAATCCTTCTTAACAAATCATTAGGTATATATACATATGTAGATAAACGGTGGGGTTCCATTAGGATTAGGTTAAATATATTAATTACGGTAGGTGATTAATTAAGGGTAATTTAGACATTCTAAAAAAACTAGGTACCAGGAGCGACATTCACTCCTGTTGGGGGCATGACCGCGGCCCAAAAGGGGGTCAAGCTGACAGGGCCCAAGAGTGAGAAGTCAGGCAGGCTAGGCTAAGTAGTGGAGCATGACCCAATAGGCCCAAGGGGGCATGGGGGAGTTGGCCCATTCATCAAAGAGGAGCACCAGGCCATGTGGGGCCCAGGCTCTGACACCGGGCGCATACGACAAGGAGTGGCAGAGGGAAGGAGGGTACGGAGGAGGGACCACTTGACGTCATGCGCCTCGAATGGCTGGGTACGGTGTCAGGTGGTCGAGGCGCATGGGACCTGGTCGTACGGCACATTTAATACGGGTCAGACGACAGGCGGGAGACGGGGATGTCGGTCGGCCAGGCCCGAGGTATAAAAGGAGAGTTGGTGAACCTCATTTACTCAGGTTGGAACTTCTCTCTAAAATTACTATTCACTTCTCTCTCTAGAAAGGGGATCTGACTTGAGCGTTGGAGTGCTAACGAGTCCTCCATAGGACTCTCCTTAGCCGTGCTGCGTGCAGGTGTGGGCGTGCCGAGACGGTCGTACGTGGAGGTTCGGGGCGTCTAGTTACCGGGCACGAACAATTGGCGCGCCAGATAGGGGGAGAAGTGAAGGCGCATAGCAACAAAGGGGGAGTAGAGAGTCATGGAGGCGTATGGGGCAGGTGAAGGAGAAGGAGGACCGGCGGCGGCAGAGGCGTCCCGGGAGGAGCCTGGGCTGTCGGGGGAAGCGCATGCGGCGGTCGAGGACGGGGCGCAGGATACGGCCCAATCAGAGGGCGTCACCCTCACGAAGGAACATCTACTCCACATAGTTGAGCAACAGGAACAGGCGCTTGAGGCGCTCAGGAAAGAGGTGGAAATGTTGAAAAAGGGGGCCGAGGCGGCAGCCCACCCACTGGGAAAGAGAAGGGACAGAGAGGAAGAGGAAGAAGGAGCATCTAGCGCGATGAGGCGCATGGAAGATTTAGGGCACCTGACGAAGCACATGGCCTCAGATTTCGACGAGCACAATGGATGGGCGCACCGACGACAGGGGAGAACGTGGGGGGTGCGACAACCACTCGCACGAAGCATATTGGCCGAACAAGCGAACTCTGTGATCCCGGCGCTCCCTACTTACGACGGGGCGGCCGACCCGGAGGATCACTTAAACAACTACTTCACGAAGATGCAATTGTACAACAGCTCTGATGCCACCCTATGCCGCGCTTTCCCTTCCACGTTCACGGGCGTAGTGTTGGATTGGTATCACCAAATAGAGGAGGGACGGATCGATAGCTTTGAGCAGTTCGCGGCCCTCTTTCTTTCAAAGTTCGCCAGCCGGAAGCGCCGAAGCCTTACCATTAGCGCCTTATTCAAGGTCAAGCAGCGGAAGGGCGAGGCGCTCCGGGATTTCTATGAGCGCTGGATGTCAGTGGCCATGGCGGTCAAGGATGTGAAGCCCCCAGTCCTAGGGTGCTGCCTGGACGAGTGTACAACGAGTGAAGAGTTGTGCCGAGCGTTGTCCAAGAGGGATGTGATATCCACCGAAGATTTGGATCGGAGGGTGCAAAAGGTGATCATGTTAGAAGAGACTTTGGCAGCGAGGAGGTTGGAGCGGAGGGACGTGCGCCCAGATGAGGCGGAGGTGGCTAGGGCGCCGCGCCCACCGCCCTTCACCACACACCACCAGAGCGCGCCTTTCTCGGCGAACTTGCGACGCCCAGAGCCACCGCGATTTCCGCCAAGGGGAGGAGGGAACTTCACCGAGCTAAATGACTCGCTGAAAAATGTGCTGCAATTTGTGAAGGACAAGGGGTACCATATCCGCTGGCCGGGACCGATGAAGGGACGCCCGAACGAGCAAAACCTCGACAGGTATTGTGAGTTCCACCGAGAGAGGGGCCACCACACGGCTGACTGCTATCAGCTCAAGTCGGAAATCCAAGGGCTGGTGGATCGAGGAATGTTGAACGAGTTCGTGAGAAAGGGGGACGATAGGACGCAGAGGGCCTTTGCGGTGCAGGAGAAGAAGGAGGGAGAGGAGCAAAGGGATGCCCCCAGTGAAGAAGGGAAGGCCCCCATGGAAAAAGAAGTGCTGCCCCCACCCCCGTTCGACATCGAGCCCGAGGCGCACCCGGAGCGCGTGAGGCTCACAATTGAGGCCATTTCGGACACGATGGACCTAAGGCAGAAGCTTGACGAAGGCAGGCGCCTGAAGTCAGCCACGGCGAGCGCCCGCGCGGCGGTGCATATTCACTTTAACGAGGCCCCTGAAGAGGCGTGTCGGGTGCCCTCCGTGGAGGCGCTTGAGATCAGAGGGGTGGTGGCTGGATGTGAAGTGAAGCGGATGTTGGTGGATACGGGGAGCTCGATGGATGTGCTGTTCAGATCCACGTTCGAAAAGATGCAACTATCCCCGAGCCTGGTCAGGCCGGCGGAGTCAGTCCTGATAGGATTCTCGGGAGTGCCGGCCAGAGTGGTGGGGCGCGTACGGTTACCAGTAACTTTGGGGGACGAGGCGCACCAGGTGACGCACACAGTGGAATTCGGCATCGTGGACTGCCCGTCCCCCTATAATGCAATCCTGGGGCGCCCGATTTTGGCACTCTTCAATGGGGTTGCATCCTCATGCCATCAAGTGTTGAAATTCATTACCCCGAAAGGAGTGGGAATGTCGCAAGGAGAAGCCTCACCAGAAGCGCGGCTCGCAAAGAGGGCGCGCATGTATAACATTGATGTGCGTCCAGAAGACACACCTAGGGCGGAAGCAGCCGACGCCGAAGTCCAAGTCCCTTTGGACGCGGAGCGCCCCGAACGGTGCGTGCGCATTTCGGCACACACAAGCGGGGAGGCGGCCGAGGCGCTGGTGGAACTCCTGAAAGAGTTCGCCGACTTGTTCGCGTGGAGCGCCAAGGAGATGCCGGGTGTGAAGCCCGAGGTCGCACTACACCGGTTGTCGGTGGAGAGGGGCGCACGCCCCGTGCAGCAAAAAAGGAGACCCCTCTCGGAGGAAAAAGAGGAAGCCTTGCGCAAAGAAGTGGGTAAGTTACTCGAGGCAGGGTTCGTGGAAGAAGCGCGGTACATAACGTGGCTATCGAACGTGGTACTCGTCCCAAAGGCAACGGGAGACTGGAGGATGTGCGTAGACTACACGAACCTGAACAGGGTATGCCCCACGGACGCCTACCCCATGCCGCGCATAGACCAATTGGTGGATGCGACCGCATATCACGAGGCGTTGAGTTTCCTGGACATGTTCTCGGGGTACCATCAAATCCTCATGTGCGAGGAGGATAGAGACAAGACGGCGTTCGCTACTCCCTTCGGCAACTTCCGCTACAAGGTCATGTCATTCGGGCTGAAGAACGCCGGCGCTACTTACCAACGCATGGTAAACACGGTATTCCAGCGACAAATCGGCCGAAACGTGGAGGCGTACGTGGACGACCTGGTGGTGAAGAGCAAAAGAAAAGAGGATCACCTGAGCGACCTGCGCGAAACTTTCGAAACGATGCGCGCCCACACTTTGCGCCTTAATCCGTTGAAATGCGTGTTTGGAGCGGAAGCCGGTAAGTTCCTGGGATTCATGATCACAAAGAGAGGGATCGAAGCCAATCCAAGGCAGGTAGAGGCGATCAGGCGCCTTAGCCCGCCGCGGACGCCCAATGAAGTGCAGGTCTTGAACGGGCGCCTGGCAGCGTTGGGGCGCTTCATCCCCAGATCGGCCGACAAGGGCGCCCCCTTTTTCGGCGTCCTGAAGAAGGCTACTGATAGACCGATAATTACACATGTTTTCACCCCTATTCTGAAGCCGTTTGTGATGTGGAATCTCGTGTTTTAAGCCGATTTCACGCTAGGTTGTGTGTTTATGTCATATTTCAGGTCCCGGCGTTGGAATCGAGGCGGAGAAACGAGTTCTGGGTCGAAAGGAGCCGAGTTGGGACTAAGGGGGCTGCAGGAGGAAAATACCCGGTCAGGTGGCCATATACCCGACCGGGTATTAACCAATTTTGGGCGCCCGAGAAGCAGAGAGGGGCCCGGGCACAGCAGTTAAATCCCCGGTCGGGGATTTTGGTGGTAGACCGGGGATTTTCACCTATTGTGGAACGGTGCGCTTCAATTATACCCGGTCGAGACCCAAAATACCCGACCGGGTATTTCGACCGGGTATCGCGAGGGCAGCTGATAAAAGCCGGTTTTGTGCGT